GCTACTGTGGGTATTTATAGCCGCTGTGCCGGAGGCACGACTCTGGTCGTTCGGCATGTTCTCCACGTAGCCACCACGTGTCATCCTCCCAGGTGTCCTGGCTGTCGTCGTAGAGAGCCGCCACGTGTCCTGTACCAGCTCTCTCGCCAAAGGGCTACTGCTCGGTGGTCGACACTATCACTCGGGCAACTCCCGGTCGGACCCCGACCGGGTTCTTCGCATGAAGCCCGACCTGTTACCTGCAAAGACAAAGAAGAAAGGACGAAGGCAACTCGGTCGGGGTAAAGCTCATGTCAGTCGGGATATTTCCTACCAAAACTTTAGGTCATATATCTTAATTTGCCCACAGGGATTAAGATAAGGAGCATGATCCTTAAGTTTTTGTCATAATGGTTGTAATGAATCTAATTGAATTAAAACTTCAGCCCACAGGCAAGTTTTATGTCACTTGATTCTTCAACCCATTTGATAATTGTTTCATCATAAAATTTCAATTGGATCTTATTGAGTAAAACTTTAGTCCACAGGCAAGTTTTATGTCACTAGATTCTTCTGGCCATTTAGTAATTGAGATTAAAATATTATCATAAGATTTCTTAATTGAATTTAATAGAATTAAAACTTTAGCCCACAGGCAAGTTTTATGTCAGTAAATTCATCAACCCATTAGATAATAACTTTATCTCAATTTCTTAGAATTTATAAATTTAGTTCAATTATAATTATAAGTTTCATGGTTTGCATTGGCAAAACATGTATTTAGTCACTTCCCAAAATATAGATACACCTTTTTATTAATTATTTTTCACGAAGCTTACTTGGTTATTTGGACTAACTATAGTAAGTTGCGTGGTATGATATAACTCTTTTGGATTCCAATAATAAAATGTATCCTTTTGAGCCAGATTCCAACTTGGTTTTGGAAGGCGTATTTTATTATTTTAGTATGTTCAACTATGGTGGAGAATCATATCCTCATTAATTATTCATTTAGTTGGACTATAATTGGAACCAAATATTGATTATTTAGTATGCCCAACTAATGGTGGGGAATTATATCTTCATTATTTAGTTGGTCAAATCAATTATGAGTGTTATAACATTAATTTGGCTAAAGAATATCTTAATCAGTGGGAGTGATCATTTAGAAAAAGATCATTAAAATACTCCACTAAAGCTGATGGATTTAATTGTTTTCATACATTCCAAATTGGATTGTGCGTCTAGCAATAAGTCCAAAAATTTCCACAAGTATTAATTTAGTTTTTTGTTCTTATAATTTCATAAGTTCATTTCATTGAACGTTTGGTTGTACAACATATTTATGAAAATGTTGTAACAATATTAATGAATTTATTAGAACGAAAGCATTTAACTTGTGGTGCACTTTCAATTAATAAATTCTTTAGCGATTGATAGATTCTTTAGTTTATTCAAAATTGATCCTGGGCCATTTTTGGTTTGTAAGGCTCAAAACAATTTTGTAAGACATAAGTAAGACTCGTAATGCTCAATTAATTTCGAGGTGGACCTTGAGATTATTTGGGAAGTTGGTGTATGTTTAAGATTCCAAATTATTGACTTAGACCTTATGGTTTATGTTATTGGAATGTTTCTATGACTTGACTATCTTTTGGCTATCTTAATGAGTGGGAGTGACAGACGTGTCAACTCCAAGCTCTTAGCCGTTAGAGGTAGTGTTTATGTTAACTTATAAACAAGTCATAGAATATAGTTAGCATTATGCTAACATTAAGAGATCTCTACTTAAGGCATGCTTCTAAGATTTTGGAGATCATACAGTGAATTTGGATGGTTTCTTCCTTCAATTGTGCACATAATATATTTTGAGAAACATCCATTAAGGGACTAAGAATAAACGTAGGGTTTGTTCATAAAGAACCTAAGTTAGGGAATTTTAATGCATGTGATCATAGTAGATATTCACTGCTGGAAATCATCGTATTTCCGACCACTTTTCCGACCACCACAAAAAGTGGTCAGACAAATCATTTTTTTGCAATTTTCCGGCGAATGGGAAAGGGGGTCGGAATTTCCGACCACAGTGGTCGGAAACTGTCGGCGGTTTGAATTTTAAATATACCTTTTCCGACCACAATTAATGGTGATCGGAAATACCTTTATATATAAATGCTTCCACTGCGTATTTCCAGACCTATTTTCTCTGTTTTTTACCCCTTTCTACTGCTTTTTTTCTTCTTTGCAGGTTTTCTTTCAATAATTCATACATAATAGTGCTAAAAGCAAGTTGTACTACATCATATCAAGTTAAGGTATGTATTTACATTCTTAAATCTACTATTTATTACGACTTTTTTTTAGATCTAGTTAGATTTTTTTAATATATTTTTGTGAATACTTATTTAGATTATTTATTTTAAAATGATTGAAGAATGTATATGTGTGTGTGTGAATATGTTTATAATTATTTGTGTATTTTTACTTTTTAAAAATTACATTTTATATGTGTGTGTCTATTTACTAGTATGAATTTTTTTAGATCTAGTTTGATTTTTTAAATATATTTTTGTGGATACTTATTTAGATTATTTATTTTAATACTAGTTTTTTACGCGCATTGCGCGATTGGGATAATGCCCAATGCTTTTTTTTAAATAAGTACTTTAAAATATATTAAGCCAAGATTATATTGAAATTGTTCATGCATAGATAATTAAATGTTAAATTTGCGTATTTAAATAGGCAATTCTAATTTTACAAATGGAAGATAATATAGTTAAGATTGATTATAATTGTCAATAAAATAATTGCATAAGTATGGTTAAAACCAAATACGGGACATAAGCTAGAGAGAGCAAATAAAAATTATGGTATAAAATATTAAATATATACTAATATTGAAGAGCTAACTGCTGATTGCCAAACAAGGACATTGCGGGATAGTTTCCTACTTCAATTTGTTGTGTGATTTGAATACTCTTTTTGTCAATAAATCCCCAAGTAGTTAATATGATTAACTTAATTATATTTTTATATATTTTTTATTTTTTAAAACAATTATTATTATTATTATTATTATTATTATTATTATTATTATTATTATTATTATTATTATTATTATTATACCCTTAGGTCATTTTATATTTTATCTAAACATCTAATATTTTCAAATATCTTTTTACCACTAAACCATTGAGCTAAGCCCGTGCGGGTTAAATAGGTAATTCTAAGTTTACAAATGCAAGATAATATAGTCAATATTGATTATAATTGTCAATAAAATAATTGTATAGGTATGGTTGAAACCAAATACGGGACATAAGAGAGAATAAATAAAAATTAAGGCATAAAATATTAAATATAACTAATATTGTTTGAGGAGATTCCGACATTAGGATTTGTGGTTAAGTTCTATTAAGACTTTAATATTAGAATTAGATTAATGGTGTAGTTATAATTCTATATTAGACTTTAATATTAGAATTAGACTAACGGTGAATTAACGGAAAAGTTAAATGGATAATTATATAATTAAGGATAAATTAGAAAATCTTAAAAGAACAAAATTAAAACCTGAACAATATGAACCATTCATTTGATTTAATAATTTGGCGGTTATTTTTTCTACTCAATGTTAATAATTAAATAAATTCGCTGGTCAAATCCGCTAGTATAATCCGTTAACTGCTGATTGTCAAACAAGGGCATTGCGAGGTAGTTCTCACTTCAATTTGTTGTGTGATTTGAATACTCTCTTTGTCACAAAATCTCTCAAGTAGTTAATATGGTTGGCTCTATTAATTATATTTTTTTAATTTTTTCATAGTATTAATAAAATACTTGGTAAATAAATATATAGCATTATTTTATGTTATAACTTTGATATTTAATTAGAAAAATAGTGCACAAAAAAGATAATAGATAATGTAGTGAATATTATCAATTGATGAACTTGAATGTAAAAATTTTTACATTTGAGAAAAATAAAGACAATATAACTAATGAAAATATTTCTTTTAATTAATTTATTGATAATTAATAATTTTTTTGTCACTGAATAAAGACATTGTAAGGACAATGTAGCGAATATAATCAACTAATAAATTTGAATATAAAGAATTTTTATATTGAAGAAAAATAAAGACAATATAACTAATAAAATTATTTATCTTATTTAATTTATTGATAACGAATAATTTTTTTTTTTTTGAATAAAGACATTGTGGACACATAATTTTAAATTAAAGAAATGCATATGTATTATTTTTTGTTGTGACTACTAAATTATTATTTATATAATTTAATAAGAGTAAAATAGAGTACTAATTATGCCAACTTTGATTGGGATGAGGTTCGAACCTAAGACTTTTTTTTTATTAAAATCAATGAGTAAGTTAACGGTGAACTAACGGCAATTCTTAAAATTTTAACGGAATTAGTAACGGTGTGAGGGTATTTTAGGAAATTTTAGTGTAAAATTTAAATCTGATCAACCTTTTAATCAATCTGAGTCATTCATTTGATTAAAATCTGTGACCGCCATTTTTTATACCCATTATAGGCCTAACTCTCTTGGGCTCTTATTAGTATATATATATATATATATATATAGTAGATGATTGAAGAATGTATAGTGTGCATATATGTATATGTGTATTTATGTGAATACGTTTATAATTATTTGTATATTTGTACATTTTTAAAATTACATTTTATATGTGTGTCTATTAACTAGTATGATTTTTTTTTTAGATCTAGTTTGATTTTTTAAATATATTTTTGTGAATACTTATTTAAATTATTTATTTTAATATGATTGAAGAATGTATAGTGTGCATATATGTATATGTGAGTATGTTTATAATTATTTATATATTTGTACTTTTTACAAATGACATTTTATATGCATGTGTCTAATTATTAGTATGAGTGTATATGATTATTTAAAATATTAGTATTATTTTTAATATATTTATATATGTGTTTGCACTGTATATATGTTTTTACAATTGTTTTACATGGCTAATATACCTGAACATCGGAAATGGATGTATAATCGATTGTTACCTGGAAAAAGGGGGTACACAGATGAGTTCTTATTGGGTGTTGAGGAATTTGTAAATTATGCAAGCACACTTCCTGTATACAAGGCTTCAATGAAGATTAGGTGCCCATGTAGTAAGTGTAAGAATAGAGTACACTTGTCTGCAGATGATGTTCGTGTTCATTTATATAGGAAGGGTTTTGAACCAAGTTATTGGATTTGGACATGTCACAGTGAGCTTCCACCTTCAATACAACCACACATGAATGAGGGCCCTAGTGAAAATAACCAGTATGAACAAATGGTTTTTGATGCATCTGGTCCATCATTTTTTCCATTAAATGTCGAAAATGACCAAGATGAAGAACCACATAGTAGTGCAAAAAACTTCTATGAATTGTTAGATGCTGCGAGACAACCTTTATCAATGAATGTTAATGAAGAAACAGAGCTGGCATATACATTGAGGATGATGAATATCAAGACAACTTTTAATATACCACAGCTAGCAATGGATCAGATATTTCAGTATATTAACCATTTGATGGGTCCCGATAATCGAGTACCTACTAGGTATTATGATGCAAAAAAGTTACTTACAAAGCTTGGTCTTGGACATGAGAAGATTGATTGTTGTGTAAACAATTGTATGTTGTACTATAAGTCTGAAATAAATGACAAGCACTGTAAGTTTTGTGGTGAGACAAGATTTAAACCTTGCCCATCTGGATCTACTCGTGCAAAAGAGGTGCCTCGCAAAAGAATGCATTACCTTCCTCTCATTCCTCGATTGCAACGTTTGTATGCATCACATAGCTCTGCTTCACACATGCGATGGCATTATGAAAATCATCGCGAACCTGGTATTATGTGTCATCCCTCTGATGGTGAAGCATGGAAGCACTTTGATAGAAGGTTCCCTGATTTCTCAGTAGATCCCCAAAATGTAAGACTGGGCTTATGTTCTGATGGATTTTCTCCTTTTGGTTTCAATGCAAAGCCGTACTCTTGTTGGCCTGTTATGGTTGTTCCGTATAATCTCCCACCTTCAATGTGTATGACTACACCATACACATTCTTAACCTGTATTATTCCTGGACCGAAGAATCCAAAGGCCAAATTTGATGTATATCTTCAGCCTTTAATTGATGAACTTCAATTGTTATGGGAAACAGGTGTCTTAACTTATGATGCATCACTTAAACAAAATTTTATGATGCGCGCTGCGTTAATGTGGACCATCAATGACTTTCCTGCATACGGTATGTTATCTGGATGGCAGACAGCCGGGAAACTAGCATGTCCTTATTGTCTTCATTATTCTAAATCATTTTATCTGAAGAATGGTCATAAAACATGTTGGTTTGATTGTCATCGTCAATTCCTTCCAATGAATCACTCCTGGAGGAAGAATCGAGATACCTTCGTCAAACAACGAGCTGAGAAATCAAGACCTCAACCAATTTGGACAGGAGATGAGTTGTTTCATAGTTTGGAAAATATCCCAAGGATTATTGATGGTCCAATTGGTCGCATTGAGGGGTTTGGACAAGCACACAACTGGAAAAAAAAAAAAGAGCATATTTTGGGATTTGCCTTATTGGAAGGATAATTTGTTATGTCACAATCTTGATGTGATGCATATAGAGAAAAATGTGTTTGATAACATTTTCCACACAGTTATGGATGTCAAAGGCACCGCTAAAAATAAAGACACGCCTAATGCACGTCTCGATATGAAGGACGTGTGTAATAGGCCCGAACTTGAGTTGGTGGAAAAGAATGGACGTTATCTTATGCCCAATGCAAGCTACAGTTTGAATTGTACTAATCAATTAGCTGTCTATGAGTGGTTACGAACTTTGAAGTTACCTGATGGGTTTTCTTCTAATTTGGCTACATGTGTTGATTCCACATCTTCTAAATTAATAGGGATGAAAAGTCATGATTGTCATATTTTTATGCAGTTTCTTATGCCTGTAGCCTTCATGTTTTTACCAAGCTGTCACTGGAAGCCTTTGACTGAGTTAAGTGCATTTTTCAGAAATCTTTGCTCTACATCCCTACGTGTAGACAAAATAGAGGAAATGGAAAACTCAATTGTTTTAACATTGTGTAAGTTAGAACGATTTTCCCCTCCATCACTGTTTGATTGCATGGAACACTTGCCTGTCCATCTTCCCTATGAAGCACGTTTAGGTGGCCCAGTACAATATCGTTGGATGTATCCATTTGAACGCTTCCTCAATCACTTGAAGTCCAAAATGAAAAATAAGAGATATGTTGAAGGTTCAATTGCTGATGCATATATGCTTGAAGAGGCAACACACTTTGCATCATTTTATTTTGAAGATGATGTGCAGAGTAGAAGAACAAGGATAGGTCGGAACCTAAATGATGGCGGCATTGATCAGAACTTGACAGTTACTTTGTCAATATTCAATCGACCTGGTCGGTCGATGGGCAGGAGAAAGACAAGATATTTGAGTGTAGAAGAACGTTTCACCGCTCATCAATATGTGTTACTGAATTGTGAGGAGGTTCAACCGATTTTAAGGTATGTGTGCTCCACTTTTTCCCATTTTGATTTCAAATGTATATATATATATATATATATATATATATATATATATATATATATATATATATATATCTAATATCAATATTGTAGGATGTATGAAAATGGTTTACGACGTTACAATCCTGGTTGTACTGATGAAGATGTAGACAATGAAGTTGAAAGAAATTTTGCACATTGGTTTAAAGAATATGTAAGAAGTTAATGCACTTTGTCATTTTTGATTCATTATTATCTATATTTTTTTGTTATGTGACATTTTCTTTGTACTTATTATTAGGTATATTGCCCAACGAACAATGTGTGTAACCAATCACTCATTGATTTGGCATATGGGTCGATAATGGAGGTTAACACATACACTGGGTATGTCGTTAATGGTTTTAAGTTTCAGACTGAAGAATATTGCCGTAGAAAGTCGACTGCTAACTACGGAGTGTAAATCAAGGGAACAGGTTTAACACAATTTGAATCAAATTTTTTTGGCAAATTGCAAGAGGTTGTTGAGGTTGAGTACCCCAATGTTCCAATAAAAAAGGTTGTTCTCTTCAAGTGTGAGTGGTTTGACCCAACACCCAATATTGGATCAATATTCAATTCTGAATATGGTATCGCTGAGGTGCATTGCAATAAACGATATAGGAAATATGATCCTTTTATCATTGCACAAAGCGCATGTCAGGTGTGTTATATTCCATACCCACGGGGTATACGGGAGAAAATAAATTGGTGGATAGTCTTGAATGTACGCCCAAGAGGAACTATTGATAGTGCCTATAGCTCTAGTTACACATATCAACAAGATAACATATCGTTGCCTACATATGGGGGTGATCAAAGTATTCAAGATGACGTGCAAGAGTTAGTGCACGAACCATTACAAATGAATGAAGTGGAATTACCTCACATCGGAAATCAATGGTCCGGCCAAGGTGTCCAAATTGAAGATTCAGAAGAAGAAGATACTGAAGAAATTGAAGAAGATGACAGTGATGATTCTAATGAAGATGATAGTGGAGATATTGGTGATGAAAATGATAATGAGGAATCAGATAATGATGAGGGTGATTTTTAATTCAGAGTTGAAATTTAAATGATTTTAATGTTTACTTTAATTTTAATTAGTGTTTAAGAAAAATTTAAGTAATTGTAAAAAAAATAAAGAATTAGCCCAAAAAAAAAAAAAAGAAAATGGCGGAAATCTGAAATTTTAATCCCAAAATTTCATTAAGTCTTCTCTCCCTCCACTACTTAAATTTCCCTCTCCCTCCACTACTTCACTTCTCCATCCTTCTCTCTCCCACTTCACGCTTACTTCCTCCTTCACGGCCCACTTCCTCCTTCACCGCCTACTTCCTCCTTCACCGCCTACTTCCTCCTTCACACCTCCAGCATCGGCAAAGCACAACAATGGCAATCGGCAGTCCCTAATCTCGTATTCTGAAACCCCAGGTACTTTCTAATTCAATGTTTGAGTAACCCAGTCCCTAATCAAATTTAGGGTTTTTTAATGGATTCTGAAATATTCTATTTCTTGTTCGAATTTAGGTCCTCATGTTCTTGGTGTTGTTGCTGCTTATCAAGCTTCCATTGGACCATCCCTAAATGACTTGTCATGTGTCCTCACTCCTAGGGAAAACAATGTAGTAGACTCAGCAAGATTAACTTCACGGGAAAAAAGCTGCCAGCATTCTTTTCATTCCAGCATTCTTTTCATTCCTTTAAAATTAAAATTTCTGGATGAAATTGTTTTGTATTGAAGGTTAATGGAAGAAACTATGTGAAACCAGAACTCAAAATTTCTGGTTTATGAAATTTGTATTCTAAATTTTTGAATATAGATTATGTTCTAAATTTCTGATTTTTAATTCTATTTCTTGTTCGAATTTAGGTCCTCATGTTCTTGGTGTTGTTGCTGCTTATCAAGCTTCCATTTGACCATCCCTAAATGACTTGTCATGTGTCCTCACTCCTAGGGAAAACAACGCAGTAGACTCAGCAAGATTAACTTCACGGGAAAAAAGCTGTAAGCATTCTTTTCATTCCTTTAAAATTGAAATTTCTGGATGAAATTGTTTTGTATTGAAGGTTAATGGAAGAAACTATGTGAAACCAGAACTCAAAATTTCTGGTTTGTGAAATTTCTATTCTAAATTTTTGAATATAGATTATGTTCTAAATTTGTGGTTTGTGCTTTGTTGTATAATTTATGGGGACTTGAGAATGTATTATAAGGTATCTATCCCAATTGCAAATATTAAGAGAGCAAATGAAAGCGAAAATTTGAAGAATCCATGCAATATCTAAAGCCTAAAACCTATTTATGTGTAACCAACCCAATGATGGGCTGCTACTCTGGGCAGTCTCTGAGGGTTTACAGTGTGTTTGGGGACTGGCAGCATAGATGAGGCTTTGAGCTGATATGTTGTGCAGATGTTGTTGGCAGATCTGCACTTTAGTGCAGGGATGAAGCCTTTCTTTGCAGGTGTTGTTGAATGGAGCTGAAGTAAATTGCAGGCTGGATGCTCATCTGCAGTCTCAAAAAAGCTGCAGATTTGTAGATAATTTGAGAGGCTGCAAAGCAAAGGATCATTTTGAGTTCTGGTTTCACAAATCAGAACTCAAAAGATCATTGGGAACAATTCGTAAGTCTTATATTGATAACTATAATAATTATAATGTGTTTAACATTTATCTCTAACATTTATAATTTGTTATAGGTTTGAGCCATGGCGTGCGAATAAAGTTATTGATTATGTAACTAAAATATTTCCAGATGCTATAAAATCATACAATGATGCTCCTACACATATGAAGGACGTATGGTTTAATGAATTCAGGGTAACTTATTTTATAACTGCTATTAGTAAATTACTTTATAACTACCATAGGGAACTACTAATATATACATTTAATAATTTATACCTTTACTAATTACTTTATACCTACTTTATGCTCCAGATGCTATAACTATTACTTTATACATTTACTAATTACAATTTGATTTTTTTTTTAATCTTATCAAAGAAAAAGTATAAGTGGAATCCAGAAGATGAGGCAGTAATTCAGAGTATATTCCACAAAAAGGCTGCTAGAAGATTATCTGACACGTTGGGGCAGGTTCGCATCAATTTGGCAAGAGGCCATGCACCACCAAATTGGATGAATGATCAGGTTTTGGCCCAATACCGCATCATTTTGGAATACGGAGGAGTTTAAGAAGACTGCTGCGAAGAACAAAAGAAATAGAAATTCAGATTGCAGGGGATTGGGACCATCACTGCACACTGCAGGTTCAATCTCCATTTCTGAGCATAGGAGAAGATTAGTAAGTCATTTACTACTATTTAAATACAATTTATAGTTAAACAACAACATTAATATTTGGTTTATTGTCTTGGATAGAAAGAAAAGCATGGAGAAGAGCCTTCCCATGCAGTGTTGTTCCAAGCAACTCACAAACGCAAAAAGACAAATGAGTTCGTTTGCAAAAAGGCTGATCATGTAAATGTAAGATACTAAAACTTTTCGTAGAATTAAAAGTGTAGGCCTAGTAAAGCAGTTTTACTTGTTTTAAAAAGTATATTCCATAATATACTTGTGCCAACATCCAAATATAGTAGTAAGAATACCCCATATCCTGATATTTAGAATGCAGATTATATTAGAGCAGAAACTATACGGACTTGAGAACTAATTAAAAGTATGCTTAGTTTAGACATGTTAGGGGATTAATTACAATGAAAATATATATGAATGACTAGTTATGAAAGTATGGAATCTTGCTGCTAATTATGTGTTCCGTTTTTTGTTAAATTATGTGCATGTTAATGTGGTTATTTGATTGATTTGCCATTACATGAACTGAAATGTGCTTTGATATGTTTCGTGTGTTAATTGCTTGGATTGGCCTGATGGTGTCCACCATTGCTTTTCTAGTCTTACTTGTCAGTTTGAATCTAGATCACCTACAACTTGAAATCCTTGCAATTTTTTATTTAATTTTTGTGTTTTGGTTTTTAATCTAACTATGATATATTATAAGAATAAAATGAAGCCAAATATACCTGAAAAGAGTTGTATGGTGAAGGTGCATCTAAGCCATACAAGTCCATTGCCCGGTGGTGTTGCCCAAATCCTCCAAGTCAAAGTAAACACTCTTGTCACCATACTTAGCCACAATAGCACCAACCCTATACACACAATGCACACATTCAGTTCTAGATCACTAAGTGGAAGTTTGGCTGTACAAATTAAAGATGAAATCAATTTAAACTGAAGTCTATCTGTTATTAGATTGTCATTTGCCAATTTTCCAGTCCATAGACCACCATATTTGGGGCATACTTAACTAGCTTATACTAGATTGCTTGTCAAAAATCTTGTGATCTACATGTTGACTTCATGATGAAAATCATCTCTTTATCTTGTTAGGGCAGAAAATGTTTGACATTGAATCTCTTATAAGATTCTCTATATGTATAAGCCTTGATACATCTAACTCTTGCTTCATTTGTAAACTTGTATTGCTTTTCATTCCTTTCTGTGGGAGAAGTCTCACTACATATTAGCTAAAACCTTTATTGTGTGCAAACCTTTACTGTATTGAATCTTTTTATTTATAATGAAGAGAAGATAGAGTTACTGCCTTCTACTACTTCAAGAGTCTTACTACTATGAAGTCTTACTGCCTTGTCTTATTGAGTTTTGCTACACTTTGTTGGTAATTATTTGAGGAATTTCTAGGAAAATGATTGTCATAACATTTATTAGATTTTGAGATGATAAAATGATTGTGTTTGGTAAAAATTGTTAAATATAGGAGGCTGCAATTCAAAAACAACAAACTCAACCTGAGCTTGGAGAGTCAAATGCATGGTTCGTGGCAGCCGGTGGCCTCAAGAAAAGAGGATCTGTTTATGGATTTGGATCAGATACACCGCACTACTTCCCTGAAGCTGTGACGCAAAAGAATTCAAAATTCGGACAATCATTGGCACATGCAGTTTATGAGGATCAAATTAAGGAACTAAAAGAAGAGAACATGCAAATGAAGGAAAAAATGGCATGGTTGGAAGCGGAATTTGTTGCAATTCGTGGTGCAAATCAACCTTCTTTTCAGTCTACTAATCCAGCCGTTAGCCATGGAAGTAATGGTGTTGGATTAGATGATCTTGAGCAATAGATTCAACATTCTAACTTTTTTTTTTTTTTTTGGTGATGGGTTAGATGATCTTGAGCAATAGATCCAAGATTCTAACTTTTTTTTTGTGATGGGTTAGATGATCTTCAGCAATAGATCCAAGCTTCTAACTTTTTTGTGATTTAGGAAATATTTTGATTGTATTAGCACATTTTGAATGATGGTGGATATTAGAATTGCAACATTATGTATAATTAAATTTGATATTGAAATGTATAATATTTGTGTTATGAAATTACTAGTTTTAAAATTGGTAAAGCAGTGTATAATTTGTAGGAAAAGTAGCAATAGAAATTGTAAATTACAAATATATATATATATATATATATATATATATATATATATGTATATATATATATATATATATATATATTTATTTATTTATTTATTTATTAATTTATAAGTTTCCGACTACCATGGGTCGAAAATCTGGAACAAATGAATTCTTGGTTCCAAATTTCCGACCGCCCAATCGTGGAATTTCCGACCACATGGTGGTCGGTAATATGGATCCGTCTAAGTATCAAACCCGTCGTTTGTTTCTGACGATTATAAAAATGTGCTCGTTGTTTCCGACCACTCTCTATGGTGGTCGGAATTAGCGACGGGCCTTTTTCCGGATCCCCATTTTGGTCAGAAAAGTGGTTGGAAACCGTTTAGGCTGTTTCCGACCACTTTTGGGTGGTCGGAAATCTGATGATTCCCAGCAGTGATTTACTCACTTGATTAGTAGAGGACGTATTACTATGGTTCGTGTGTTTTGTTTTTTAATGAAGGTTGTGCCAGTACTTGCACCAAGTGGGAGAATGTAAGTATTTTCCCTAATATAATATATTATAATATATTGTATTAATTAAGTGGTTGTGGTGCAAGTGGAAGATTAAGTCAGTTAGTGGCTTAATCTGTTAGGCAACTCAGGATATTCAGTTTAGGATTAACTGAATATCTGCCTACATTGATGGCATGTAGGCTTCTAAGCATAATGAGTCCTCCCACAGCTCCCGAGTTCAGTATACACGCACCATCGAGTATTCGGGAGAGAAGTGGTAGACAAAACTATTCTGCAGGTTTACCGTCTAATGGCAATAACAACAACTATGGCAAGAGATATTCGGATGATCCTGAAGCTTCCGCCACTACGAGACAGGTTACTCGTTACTACAGTTCATGTTAGTCTAAATTTATTATCTAACAGATTGTTATCAAATTCTACCAAGCCACCAAAAGAGAAACTTTGATTGAGAAGATTACATAGGTTGTGTGGTCGTTGCTTCTTATCCATCTCAACAAGTTTATCCACCCTATTAATAATCCCTCTCAATAATTTTGTTGGGAATTGCTTTTCTCCTTCAAGTAGTATTACAAAGCAACTGAGATCTACCGCTGATTTCCTCTTGTCATTTGAAACTTTCTTTTTGCAGAACAATTTTCCTAAATAACGATTAATTAATTTGCCTAAAGGATTAACTAAAAGTACTAATGGAAGCACAGAGTAAAAAAGAGAAAACACTACAAAACTTACACCACATTACATTCACAATCTGAATTAGTATGCAGAAAGTCAAGATCAAATATTTTATGCTGTGAATAAGTCTGTTGAGTGTGCGTCTCTTAAACTTTATAGGTATTGATAGCTGCCTCCACTCAACCAATTTTGCAGTCCAATAGGACTCAATTCTGACTTCTTCTCTACTAATTCTGATCCCATTGTTCTCATACTTGTAACCAACCACACTAATCATGAAGATTGTAGCTATGAGCAGTACAGTGTTGGTAACGTGGCATAATATTGTGAAACTAAAATCAAGTTGATCGACCATTTATATTCAGATTGATTTTGAATATAACTCGAGTTAAAACCGGTCACCACCCTATTAAAGAATGCTACAAATGAAATAAGGGCAGAAAATAGGCAGACGATATGATATTGGTATAAACGAATTGAAGGTGACCAACCTTTTCATCAGAAGCCCGGGATGCCTGCCATCACCCAATACTTTGTAATGCTCAATCTCAGCTTTTCAACTCTATAATGTTGTTGCCCAGCTTGCCTCTCATCTGAAGCTAGCTTCTAATACTTTGATTCTGCGCGTTTCTTAATTGCTGGAACTTTTCAATTTACTATAATGTCTTCTATATATATGGATCAATTTACTATAATATCTTTTATATATATATATATATATATATATATATATATATATATAAAAGTGTGTGCGTATGTGTGTGTATTTATTTATTTATATGTATGAATGTATATCAATGCTTAAATATTAAAAACTAAATATATAAATATACACACATCTATATTTAATTATATAAACATATTTATTATTATTATTATTATTATTATTATTATTATTATTAGTTAACAAGAGCAAGGTTGGAATAATTCAAGGTAATCTATATTACCTAAGAAAATTGGGAGTAATCACATTACCGTCACATTAGCTTTGATGTAATATAACAGTACTAGGTAATCTCATAACTTGAACCAAATAAGGTAATATAGCATTACCAGTCTCAAATTACCTAGGTAATCTCAGATGACCTGAACCAAACGCCCCTAATATAAGAGTAATGCTATATACGTCTACCTAATTTATTTTTCGTACATTTTTTTTCTAACTTGACGTCATTTGATTGGTTTATTTATTTATTTTTTAATTAGTTGCTTGTTAGCATATTTGTGGTCACTTAATGATTATGAGCCACATTATTTGTCAAGTAGTTTGTAGCTCAATGTCAATTCTATGACGCTCTTAAATGAGAAGTTACAGGTTTGAACTCTATTGACTTTTTGGGCTATCCACAAAGGCATTGAATGGGCTTGGAGCAAAGGTTATAGGAAGTTGATGGTCCAAGTGACTCGAGAAGAATCATTGAGCGGATTAAGGGTGGCTCGCCCCAAAGGGCCCATCAAGAATATCATCGAGAAATGTAAAACATGGAATCAATGTTTTGAGAACATCTCTTTTCACCATGGCCTTGTTTGACAATCAATGGTTAGTGGTTAGCAGATTATGTTAGCGGTTAACAAATAACGAATTGTGTTAGCGAGTTTGACCGGCGAATTGTATTAGCGATTTGTAAAAAGATATTTGGTAAAATTAACTGTTTAGATTAGCGATTAACATGTAAAATGACCAAAAGTACATTCTTAATAATAATAATAATAATAATAATAATAATAATAATAATAATAATAATAACAAAAATAATAATAATCAAAATAAATACAAAAAATAATCAAAATAAATATATAAAAAAAAACAAAAAAAAAAAAAAAAACAAAAACAAAAAGAAGGAAAGTGATGTGGGATCAAAACTGATCCCACATCCAAATCAAATAAAGAAGAGGGCGTTGAGCTCCCTCATTAAATGGGGAGCTCAACGCCCACTTCTGTTTCACAGCCCATTCGATTCTCATATCGGATGTGCAGGGAAATAGAAGCTGCAGGCGGCTTCTCAAATTAACATTGATTTTTTTTTTAATTAAAGTAAGGGCGTTTTGGGCAAATAACGTTGCTAAATGCAGCGTATCAAAATCAATAGTTTGGATCAAACCGATATTAACTAAACAATGACTTTGGTATTTTGACTTTGGTCAAAACGTCAAAGTTGGCGGATCTACCAAAATTCTGACGGACCCATCAATAACCAAACACGTTCCATGTATAGTATTGGGCTTGTTGTGTGTGTGTGTTTTTGTTTTTTTGTTTTTTTGTTTTTTTTTTTAAATTGGGGGGAATTTTACAATGGTGTGTGCGCGGGTGTGGAATGGCGTGTGCGATTTTCTGTAATAGGAGGTGTACACCATGGCAAACTATAAAACGCACACACCATTCCACACCCACGCACACACCGCCCCGTAAAATTTCCCATAATTTAAAATTTCAGATGTACAAAATATAATTAATTATTACCATTTATAGGGTCCCTAATAATTTAAAATATCAATTTCCATTCATAATCTCCCTAATATAATGCTTAAGATTCCAATTGAATTATATCTATAATTAAACATATATCTACAATTACTATTTAATCTTTTTGATTTATATATCCTTAATTACTTTCACAATCTCTTATAATCTCAACCATTTATGGAAAATGAATCAATGGATATTATGAGATCTCATGATCTCATCTAGTATAGGGGTTGCACCAGATTCGAAACATATATATATATATATATATATATATATATATATATATATATATATATATATACACACTAGTACAAAAAACATCAATAAAATCGAATAATTCGCGTCCAAAGTTAGAACTTTGGACTCCTAAAGTGTAGTGCGGTGGCATTTTTGTAATTAAAATGTCACTATATAAATAAATTTGTTTTTTTATTTATTTTAAAACAGTATTGGCGTCCAAACCTCTGTACTTTGGACGCCAATATTAAAACCCTCGTATTATACGCGTCCAAAACTCAGTATTTTGGACGCGTGTTATTTTTTTTAAATCAAAATAAGCCCTAGCGCAGCAGATCAACCCGCACCATCGTCCCCGCCGTCTTCATCCTCCTTCGATCTCCATCCTCCTTCACCGTCGACTTCGATCTCCATCCTCCTTCATCTTCGACGCCGACGCCCCCTCTGCCACCGCTCTCCATCTTCCCGTCGACGCCCCCGCTGTCGTCGTCGATCGCTGCCGCAAAGTTGCTGCTTCACTTCGACCGCTGCTTCACGCCGACGTCTCCGCCGCTCCGGCCCTAGCCGCCGTCCCCGCCGCTCCTCACACTGCAGGTTAGTTTTTTTCTTTTTTTTTTTTTTTTTTTTTTGATGCATACCAAGTTTCATAGGGCTTAGAATGTCAAGAATAATGTGAGAGTGTGATCGAATGGTGCATCTGGGGTACACTAGGCTTAACATCCCACCAATTTTTGTACTTGTCTACTTTGTATGATTGTCATTTTAATTTAAAATCTTTTCCCAATATTCAAGTTAATTATGTGGTGGATCATGTTGATTCATAGATTGTACTTGGGGCAACGCTTAAACCTGCTACAATGAATCATAAACAACCTTGTTCATAGAAGTTCAGGAATCATAAAATTCCTAATTAGATTCATGGATTGCTAGTAAGATTGAGTAAGAACTTATAGTCATTAACTGTGTGCAGTTCAGTTCTAGTTGGGAAGGGAGATTTAGGTTGCTGTGGGTTTTATTTTGTATTTGCAATTTTCCAGGGAATGACATAGTAGCGAGCTTTATACTTGAGAAACCAGTTTCTCTCTTGGAGGATCATATCTTGCAACTTGAAGATGAAATTTTGGATGAAATAAGTGTTTCCAACACCAAAGTATTCCCCATAACTCCCCTCTTGTGTTTCGTTTGTGGTTTTATTTATTTATTTTAAATGTGTTTCTTAATTCTCTTTCTAATCTTCCAATTCTCTTCAAATGTGGTTTTATTTGGGAACCCCCATCATTTGAGGTGCTGAAATAGTGAAGTGAGATGATAGCTTTAGAGTTGCTAACCCCTTCTAGTCTTCTCTAAATATATCTGCAGCTGGTCTATGAGAGTGTAAAGACAAAACAGTCTTGGAGCTTATTACTCTCTAAAAGACATGCATTAGAGAAACAACTTCAACAGTCTAAAACTTCAGCAACCATATAATCTGTTTCTGTTATATTAAACATTTCCTTTCTTAAAGGTAATGAGAGTATGCTATTTATTACAAGTAGACAATTCTTCACGAATTAATAGATGTTGCGCATACTAGTTGTATCTAATTTCTTAATGTTACTAGAGCTAATAGCTTTCTATCTTAATATTCTGAAAGAATTTAACTCGACTTCAGAGTTTGGTGTTTCTTTCCAACAGTTAGTTATTATTATAGTTCTTGGACATCATAATATGTTCAGTGCCCCTTCCAGTTGTTTGGCTTATGGGTTTATCCTTGTTTTTCTTATTGTACTATGTTTGCCATTCATACTTCCTTTATGCCATATCAGTTCTCACTTTTGCATTCTTTTTTCTTTTATTGATGACCTCTGGGAACTTAAATTGCCAACCCCTTGTCATCAAATTACATTCTTGCTGTTTGGTACTAATATTTACTTTTTTTGACTCTTTGTTTTTTGTCTCTTGGTCTTAGGCTATGCAGTATCTACTCGCTCTTTATCACATAGACTGGGTGGCCTTTATTGCTTATATTGCCTTTTTGAGACTCAGCCATTTAAGCCTCCTTTCAAGATATATCTATCTCTTGGTATGTATGACTAAAACTTTTTCTAATATAAAAGATGAAAGTGCAGGTTATGTTTTCTTTGAATTCTTTCTATGATTGATCTTCTGGTGACCTGAGACCAGACAATCCACAAAGCTAATGTATAATGCATTTGATTAGTCAATAATTATCATCGTTCTTTTTTCAAAGGTTAGCTAATAGATTTGCAAGTTGGGGTCTTAAATTGGCCATAAGTTAGTAACTCATCTTTATATAACTCATAACTGTTTCTATGACTTATGCAGGTACAAAGCTGCCATCAAAGCTGATCCTTTGTGTTACGAGGTGTGCGGCTTAATTTGTTATTTGGTTATTGATTCTCCAAATTTTTATAGGTGCTTTTTCCTGACTGAATGGAATTGCAAATCCTGAAACTATTTTCTATACATTGGACAACAAATATACAAATGTATTTAATCTTTCTTTTTTAAATATATTTTTCTTGCCTTTTTACAGGCCTTTGGTGCTGAAGATGGTTGGCTCTCTTCATTCTATTCTTGTTTGGTAAAGAAGGTAATAATTTCATATGAGCTGCCATTAACAAGTCTCAAAAAATCTTTGGGATCTGTTTTTGAATCTTAAGCACTAATATTCAATTCTCATCTACTACAGGGATCTTTCTTTCAACAATCTGACTTTGTGATCTGTTTTTGAAATGCAACAGGCTTTAGACAAATCGGTTATAATCAATGAAATTCTGGACCCGAGGACTAAAAATTTGTTGACCATGTCGAAAATAAGTGATTATGTTTTGTCAAATGAGCTTGTGAGCATTGCATTGGCTATGGTTGTAGAGGATCGTCAAATAAATTAGGTACTGGAAGAGCTTTTTGCTGAAGAGGTAATGTAATTAGGGAGCTTGTATACAGGGAGGTACTAATTTGGCTATATGATCTTTTCTCAATATACGAAGTACTTTTGGTTACTTTACTTAGAAGTATAACTATGTGTTGCAGTGAAAATTGGTAGGCCTGGCTATAGGGTGACAAAACAGTTTGATCCAGAGACAAAACAAAGATCTCTCCTTTTTCAGGTTTGGCTACTCTCTCTCTCTCTAATCTTTACCACATTCTTGATGTGTATAACATTCCAGAGTAAAACATGCTTATTGTAATTAGATTCTTGGTTCTAGTTGGCTTTACTCCACAAGAACAAGTGTTGGACCAGCCAATATTTTTACTCTGTAAAGAAATAAATGTTACTGTACTGTTAGCTACCAAAGCTGAGAAGAGGGGTTACTTTCCATATTGATTATAAGAAGTGGCTATACAATTGTTTGAAATAAAACGAGTCAGGAATTCACATTAGGCATACTGGTGCTAGGATGTGATAGTGAAAACCCCATTCAGATAAATTATCTTAAACAGAGTGTCTTTGCTCCATGAGAACAGGAGTTAGATCAGCAAATATATATGCTTTTTCTTTGTTTTTCCTTATTGGGTTATGTTGCTCCAGAAGATGCTGACATGTGTAGTGGCTTTGGTGGTTGGTGCAGATTGAATATCCTGAGATTGAAGACAATACAAAGCCGAGGCATAGATTTATGTCCTCCTTTGAGCAGGTTTGTAATATCTTTATAGAAGTTGTATTTTGAAGGGCTAAAGTGTTTTCCATGGAATATTAATACTCATCACAGAATTTCCTTGAATGTAAGTGCAAAGAATTCTCTTTATATATTTTAACAGTATGCTTAACTTTGTTTTATTTATTTCTTTTTTATTGGCAGAAAATCCAGCCATTTGACAAAAGATATCAATATCTTTTGTTTGCTGCAGAACCATATGAGATCATTTCTTTTAAGGTAACTCCCACATGACAGGCAGGATTCTTTAATTTAACCTGTGATTAGGTGTGTGTTTTGTTTAATGGATTGGCTCTCAACTCCTATGCATTTATTCTAGGTACCAAGCACAGAGATTGACAAGTCAACTCCAAATCCGGCCGCCGGCTCTGTTCATCGCCACAGGTGCGTATGTATTAGTTTTAATTTTTTTTTTCGAAAATCAGTAATTATTGTTATTATTATTATTATTATTTTGTTATTTGTTAGAGGCATGAAAGTTGGATGGCATTTATCTGAGATGAATATTCTAAGGAAAATGGCATTTTTTTTTGTTATTTGTTATAGCCTTAGCATCATATAGTATATATAGATGCAGTTCAAATTATGCTAAGATTCATCATGATATAAGATGCAGTCTGTGTGTTTGGGGAAGGGGAGGAAAAATTCATACTATTTATTTTCCAAATCTTCAATGAACACAGAATGAAAAATTTAGAGTCTAGCATTAAGTTTCAACCAATTGAAAAACCAACAACCCAAGACACAGCCAAAAATAGTCAATCAGATTCATACTATAACAGTGTTCATATGACTTCCATAGTTCATTACAATTGTGTTGAGATTCTCTCAAAGTGAAAAGTTAATATGTTCACTGTTTGTAAGAAACATGAGTAAACTTTTTAAAATATTTGATGTAATCATGTAATGCAATTTAATTCTTGAATATGAGAAGAAGCTTGGTGTGTTGTAAATTGATTAATGTTGAAGTATATTATTTGTTGATAGTTATGCTGGAATGTACAGGAAAATATTGATAGTTTTATTAAATAAATAATTTTTTTAAAAAAAGAATGACTATACGCGTCCAAAGTTCATGAACTTTGGACGCGTATAGTGCTTATTTTTTTAATTAAAAAAATACTATACGCGTCCAAAGTTCTTCAACTTTGGACGCGAATTATCATTTTTCGCGTCCAAAGTTACTTTGGACGCTAATTGTATATACAATCAGCGTCCCCGCCATCTGCGTCCCAGCTACTTTGGACGCGAATGACTGTTTTTGTACTAGTGATATATATATATATATATATATATATATATATATATATATATTATTGAAGAATATAAGAAAATATATGGTGGATGCATGTACATAGTAACAATAGTGGAAAAGACAACAGAAGTTATAACGTAATGGTATGTTTGTCCAAAATATTGTATTGTACAACTTTTATTGCATAATGTATAAAAAATATAACGAAAAAATGAACATAAATGAATGGTATAACTTTCATTCACACTTATTATGTTTTTAGATTAGATTAGAAATACAATCATCCCATATAGCATTTGTACATTTCTACAACAAAGATAATAATAATAATAATAATAACAACAACAACAACAACAACAACAAATGGGTGTGCATAAAGAGAACGAAAAAGGAAAATGGAAAAAAGATAATAATAATAATAATAATAATAATAATAATAATAACAAATACAAATTGGTGTGCATAAGGTTGATGGAAAAAAAATGATAATAATAATTTAATTAGTAATAACAATAAGGATGAGGAAAAAAAGAAAAAGAAAAAGAAAAAATGATAATAATAATTTAATTGATAATAAAAATTTAATTAGTAATAACAGTATGGATGAAGGGAAAAAAAAAAAAAGGAAAGATATAATCTTAATAATTTAATTAGTAATATGGAGTAACATTAAAGGGGAAGGGGGATTGATCCCTGGATCTCAAGGAAGACACTATTTAGCATGTTTTTTCATTCCTCCAAAGTGAAATAGAAAAGTTGGTTTTTACTTTCTCCAAAAGTTTTAAGAAATATGAAGAATGGAGATAAATTTTCAAAAAAAAAAAAATGAAGAATGGAGATAAAGTAAGAATTTAGAAGAATGATTTTAGTAAATAAGTTTTCTGATTTTTATTTTTTCACTTCTTCAATTTTTTATTTTTTTAAAAAATCCTCAATTTTTTCAAATTAGTAAACGATCCTATAATATTTTTACATCAAAATGTAAAAGTATTACATTTTTCTTCAAAAGCATTTTATTTAATCCAATAGGGTAGCTCAAGTATGACAAATAAACTCTCTTTGTGGAGAAAAATTTTGAGATAATTCAAGTGACAATTCTTTTTGGACTAGCTTATGTACTTAAGGAATAAAAATTTGTAAGACGGTCTCACATAAATGTGACACGCTATCATCTCTTGTTTTAGTCTACAAACTAGGGGTGGGCGTTTCGGGTTTCGGTTCAGTTTTTCGGTTTCGGTTTTTCGATTTTTAAAAAGTTAAACCATTCGGTTTAACATTAGGGTTCGGTTCGGTTTTGGTTCGGTTTGAAACGGTTCGGTGTTCGGTTCGGTTTAAGATCCCCAAATTTCAACATTTCCTTATTTTTTGAACATATTACCAAACAATACATATTCACATAATCCAAATTCAAACTCCAAACATTATATAACAAAATAGCAATCCAAAGTTAAAAAACAATACTAAGTACTAATTACCAAACATCAGTTAACGTTTTTGCACAACCGACTCTTCAGTTGGAATATTTTTATTGATAAGATGAATAATCATCTATCTGTATAGTTGATATTAAAAGAACAAGTGCCAATTACTATATAGTTAATTTTTGGACACAATCTGTCATTACTAGCGCACTCGAAATATATTCCAGTACTAGAAAATAATTATAGTGCACTGGAAATCAAAATTAGAATGACTGTAAAGCACATTAAATTTATAGAAAAACATGAAACTAAGGAAAATACTGAATATTGTAAATATAACTCAAGTTAGATATAATTGTGAGGTAAAGAACAATTGCGACAAATAACAAAAGTGCAATGTAGAAAACAAGCTATAAAGAAATCAAATAAAAAATTTAAGGTTCGGTACCAGAAAGAATGAGAACTGAACGACGGAGCAGACATCAAGAAACTTGGATTTACTTCTTTATTATTATTATTATTATTATTATTATTATTATTTATTAAAAAATTATATAGCATTCGGTTTGATTTGATTTTTGTCAACCCGTTCGATTTCGATTCGATACTATACCGTTCGAGTTACAAAATCCCGAACCATTCAATTTTCTATTACTAGTTCGGTTCAGATAAATCGAACCGAAGTGCCCACCCCTACTACATACTTCACTTTTAAAATTGGTAAAAGAAAGAGAAGTCGAAAGCAGAAACGCACTTTATAAGCTGTGCCTGTACGTATAATAGTATAGTGGTAGGTGCAGTAGAAAGGAAAGCGAAAGTGGTGCCAAAGTGCTGCCTTTCGAGTTTCGAGTAATGTCAAAGAAGATAGATAACTGTGTGAGCTGAAGTGCTCAGAATCAGATAGATGGGAGGAGTACACACTATATCTACTCCGCCGCCAACCGCCTTCTGCTCCGCCGCTTTTGTACCTCTCCGGTAGTCTTCAAAATACTTTCTCCGCCACTTTAGGCACCGTCCGAACACCAGCTTGCTTTTTCACCTTTGTTTCCGGGATAGGAAATGGGATGCGCGGCTTCGAAGCTGGATAATGAGGACACGGTGCGGCGGTGCAAGGAGCGGCGGCGGTTGATGAAGGAGGCCGTCTATGCTCGCCACCACCTGGCGTCTGCTCATTCTGATTACTGCCGCTCGCTTCGACTCACTGGCTCCGCCCTCACTTGCTTCGCCTCCGGCGAAGTTCTCTCCGTTTCCGATCAAGCTCCGGCGGTGGTCCTCCGCACTGAATCCGCCTTCAAAACTCCTCCTCCGGTTAAGATCCACCCGCCGTCTCCGTCTATTCACACTCCTCCTCCGCCGCCACCGCCGCACTTCTCTCCTTCCGGTTCCCCCACCATTGCATCCTCCAAACTCCCCCACATCCTCTCCGCCTCCTCCGCCTCCTCCCACCGCCAACAACCTCCCCAGAAAAAGCCCCTCAAGCTCCCTCACATCCTTTCAGAATCGAGCCTCGCATCCACCCCGAAAGCTCGCAATCTCTTCGAAAACGAAAACTATACGTACAACGCGAAAGCGAATTCAACTTACTCCGGCACTCCATCACAGGCCTCCTCTGTTTGGAACTGGGAGAATTTCTACCCTCCGTCACCCCCGAGCTCCGAGTACTTCGAACAGCTTCAGAAAAGCAACGCCCCCTCTCGCGATACTTGGATCGACAACAATGATGACGGTTTTGATGCCGATAAGTCATCTTCTTACTCTCAATACTCGCACACCATTTCTCACGAGAAGGATTATCGTCAGAATCCGTCCACCAAGCGATTCGATTTCTTCGATAACCAGAGCGTTGATGACGACAAGGCCTCGAATTACTCTTCACATTCTAACTTCTCGAATAGGGATTTGCGGAATCTAAATCCGGCTCAATCGAGAGAACAGACAAAGCATACTCATCATCTTCACCATATGACTAATTGCGACAGTGAAGCAGAGAGGGAGGAGGTAGAGTGTAGTGAGTGGGGAGACCATGATCATTATAGTACTACGAGTTCGTCTGACCTTGAAGAAGAAGAAGGTGAGAGAGAGGATTTGAGATCTGAGATTAGGGCGACTCGATTGAATTTTGAGACCCCATCGGTGAAGAATGAGGTTACTACTGCCACTACTGCTCAGCTTAGGTCGAATTCGATCAATCATTCTGCCATTAAATCCAAGATGGATGATGGAGGGTCCTCCTCGATGAGCTGGGGAAATGGGACTGCCAAAGGGGAGATAATATCCGATAGGAGAATAGTAGTGAGGCACAAGGATCTTGCTGAGATTGTGGCTGCCATCAAGGAATACTTTGACAAGGCTGCTTCTGCTGGAGAGCAGGTGTCTGAGATGCTGGAGACTGGCCGGGTTCAATTGGACCGGAGCTTTAAGCAGTTGAAGAGTGAGTTCAATTGTTGAATTTTAGACACGTGATTTGTTTAATTGAGGAATTTATGCATCTGTGAATTGCAACTAGTTGAATCCTGCTGTTTCAAAATCTTCGCTGTTGTTTTAGATTTTGTATTTCAAGCATTCTTTTCACTGAACCAGAGACAAGTTTTGGAGTTTGACATTAATATTGATACGAAATTGTATTCGCTTGATCTGTTGGTGTTGCAGAGACAGTTTACCATTCGAGTGGAGTTCTAAGTAACTTGAGTTCAAGCTGGAGT